CTCTCTCTTTTCTGGAAGTTCATTTTGATGGCGTCTGAAACCCTAGAAGACAAGAAACAAGAAGAAATAGCTAACGTCGAAGACAAAGGTGAAGTGAAAGAAGAAGGGAAAACAGAGGAGGGTGAAGAAGAGAAGGAAGCGGAATTACTGAAACCCTGCTCTATTTCTATTAATTTAATCGCAAACATCCTAATCTCTTTTGCTTTATGTTTGATTTTAAACCTATGAATTACTGGTTTGGCTTCTTTGTTTACTTCATTTCTATATCCACTGCAAAGTCTCTGTATGGTTCCATGTGGAAGAATTTGCAAAATAAGCTGTGTAAATTGCATTCTTAATTAACCACAATTAACTAACACTTCACTTTTTTGGTTTCTCTCTCTGTGTCAACCCTCTCTAAAAGCTTATCATTCACAGAGATTCAGATCGATCTCAGTGATTTCATCTCAGAGCGGTTTCGATTTCGAAGCTCCAAAACACCATCTGCACCATCGTCTACTAAGGTGAGCTCCATCGTCTCTCTGTCTCTCTCTGAAACTCTTCATTTCGAAGCCTATTTCAGTGCTGTAATGGAAACATATCTCTCAATTCATTATTATCGTTCGTTCTCTCTCTCTCGCTCTCTCTGTCTCTCTCAATTCACTATTTGTGCTTGGAATGCATGAGAATGGCAGTGGAGAACTTAACTAGGTGACCTGCCCCAACCCAACACATATCTATTTACATATATAGTTATGGTCTGGTTAATATTACTTTTTCAGAACCAGGATTGGCTCATGGTCTGGGCTGTGATGTGGATGCTTTTCAATATGATCAAGTTTCGTAAGCCTTGCACGACTTGAGATAACATGATGGTAGCAAAGCAAAGCAACAACTTTGATCCTCGTGCTGCTGCTGCTAATTTCCCTTCAGGTAATGGACTTTCTAATTTTACCATCAGATTCTCAAGTATTCATCACTGTTGTTTAGCTGGCTCTCGGATGTGCTTACAGCTTGAAAGTGCAAATAACATTTTAAAAAATTGGACATGTCAGGTGTGCAAGCATATTTGGCTGGGCTTACATTCGCATTAGCCGTTTCACCTTGCAGCACTGCTGTGCTGGCAACCCTGCTTGGATATGTAGCTGCATCCAAGGTACTTTTAAATGTTTATTGATTTCAATTTCCATCTGAATTATTACCTTTTCAGAATGCTTTATACTGATCGTCTAATCCAATTTTTTCTATCATCTCTTTTTGTTGATGTGGTCATCTAGGGTGATGCTTGATGGTGGTAGACTCTCCATTAGCAGGTAGTAATAACTCTTAAGGTGCATGGTTCTTTTGTGATGCGCTTGTTTTATTAATAACTCTGCGAGTGCATGGTTATTTTGTTGATGCAATTGTTGCAGTAAGATATTTATGATAAAGATGTGCTGATGTTTTTGTAATTTTAAAAAAAGAGTATAAATGGGAATATTAGGATGCATAATTTACAAATTTCATTTCCAGTTTTCTTTGGTTTTGTGGTAGTAAAATTGGAACATAATATGTAACTCTGAATCATATGATATCCTACTATATTGCCACTCAATTTCGACAGATATCTACTAATCTTGCAAGAAATAGTTGAGTTTTTGTAATGTTGATTGTTGTGAAATTTTCTATTTCATTGTGTACTTTTGTACTAATAGATAAATTGCAATGACTAAAATCATTGTGTTGGGTCTAAAATTTTTGTACCTTTTCTGAAAAATTGGATAATTTTGCTGAGGTCTAATTTCTTTTCATCTTTTTAAAGTTAAGGTGGTTGTATAGCATATTGTCTGATTGCCAATTTTGACTGTGGTTACTACCATAGGGCCTTGAAGATAAAGCTTGGCGAACAAAGCAAAGTAGTGTTCAACTTCTTGGTGCTATGGCTTACTGCGCTCCACAGCAACTTTCTCAATGCCTTCCTAAGATTGTGCCAAAATTGACAGAGGTATATCTTAATGAATTATGACCTTATGGCTTCCTAGTTTTGATTTGACTGGTAACTTCATCGTCTTTGAGGAGACATAAATTCTCTATGATTGCAGGTGCTAACAGACACCCATCCTAAAGTTCAGTCAGCGGGGCAAACAGCCCTTCAGCAGGTCGTACTTTGTGTTATTAGTTTAGTGCTCATTCACTTTTGCGTACTTGTGTAGTTTTTTTGTGCTCTTGTAATCACGTCTTTGTTTTATTTCTAGGTTGGGAATGTGATTAAAAATCCAGAAATTGCTGCTCTTGTCCCAACACTTCTAATGGGCCTTACAGACCCCAATGACTACACGAAGCATTCCCTTGATATTCTTCTCCAAGTAAGGATGTGAACTTTACTATTAATTGTTATGATTTATGCATCTGTTCCTTTTTTTCCCCCTTAAAATAAAATAGCTTTAAATGTGTTTCATTGGTTGCAGACAACATTTATCAATTCGATTGATGCTCCTTCACTCGCACTGTTGGTACCAATAGTTCATAGAGGGCTAAGAGAGAGGAGTGCTGAAACTAAAAAGAAAGCTGCCCAGATAGTTGGAAACATGTGCTCTTGAGTGACTGAACCGAAGGATATGATTCCTTACATAGGTTTACTCCTTCCTGAAGTAAAAAAGGTACCATTTTACACTCTAGAATCTTACATGTTGACCCAACGGATATATATCTTATAGGCATTTTGCTTCCTGTACATGGTTTTCTATCTGTAAGACATTTTTTTTTATAGAAGAATGGCAAATTTACTATCTTTCCATGTTCCTGATGAAACAGGTTCTTGTGGATCCAATCCCTGAAGTTCGGTCTGTTGCTGCAAGGGCCCTTGGTTCTCTCATAAGAGGAATGGGAGAAGAAAACTTCCCAGATCTTGTTTCATGGTTGTTAGAGACACTCAAGTCTGATGGTAGTAACGTTGAACGCTCTGGAGCTGCTCAAGGACTAAGTGAGGTTAGAGTTTACTATTTGTGTTTGATTTTTCTTTTCGTTGTTTTTCTTTTTATTCTAACTCTTTTTTGATTTTTTTTATATTAATCATCAGCATCTAATTGGTTCATGTCTAAGTTTTTCATATAATTTCGCATCATCCACCAACTTGAGTGACCTTGATTTTGTTCGAATAATAGCAGTCGTATTTTCAAAATCGAATTGTCTTTTAGGAAATAACAGAAATATATAATTCAATATGAACGACGAATATGAGAACAAAAAACTACTATAACCTGTCTATATTATATAATCAATGGAAACAAGGCCGGAATTTTGGGTCTGAATTAAGTAATTGATTACACTGTTATGCAGTCTTGGGATCAAAGCTTGTATTTTCAGCAGAATGATGCGAGTTATCTGTGTTGCTATGACTTGACATAGACACTGTGCACCCAAACACTTGTGCTATTGGCCTGCCAAATACAATCTAGGATTTTAATTTCTGAATCTGAAAACAGCACGAGTGTGTAGAGACCCAGACCCCCCTTCTAGGCATTACTGTTAAAACATTTGTTTAGTTGCTGCATAAATGTCTGGACTTTAGTTGCATTTTGTGTTTTGTCATTACAACACTAGTACTTCGATGATGTCTGTTTTTTGTTTGTGTCATTTTTGAGACCTGTGTTTATTTGAATGTAGTTTTTGAGAGGCTGTTGTCTTTTTCTTCTCTAGATTTTGGCTGCACTAGGAAAGGATTATTTTGAGCAGATACTTCCTGATATCATTCGGAACTGTTCTCATCAAAAAGCATCCGTGCGTGATGGTTATTTGACACTTTTCAAGGTGAGGAGAAGAAATTGATTATTTGGTGTATGTTCTGGTAGTATTTGTTTTATAGGAAGTCTTTTATTATTGCCTTCTAATTGAATTTCTTTTGCAGTATTTCCCAAGGTCATTAGGTGTCCAATTCCAGAACTATTTGCAGCAGGTGTTGCCTGCAATCCTAGATGGTAAGTATTGTTTTTCTCATGTTTTGTTTTTCTGTGTCTGTATATGTTTGATATTATGTCTTTTTTACATGTTATATACTCACTGTCTCCACCTATTTCTTGGCCCTATAATTTGAGTCTGTTGTCTCCTTCTACCATATGCAGGCCTTGCTGATGAGAATGAATCTGTTCGTGAAGCTGCACTTAGTGCTGGGCATGTTCTGGTTGAGCATTATGCAACAACGTATGTTCTTTTTGGTTGTGCATTTATTGTTCTGATCCATTACACTATAGATTATTTATCTAAATCTGAATTTGATTGAGGTGATTATATTAATAAGTGAGTATCATCAGTCAGGCCCTAATATTTGTGACACGTTCTAGGAGTTGGTCTTTCGTTGAACGTCCTGGCCTTTTGCTAGTGGTGGCTTTTGTTGTTGCTCAGTTGGTAAGTGAACTGCTATTTTCTATTCTTTTCTTTATTTTTTCCAGGCAAGTGCATCCTAAGTCCTAGTTACTTGAAGAATGACCTTTAGAATAAACTTTCCGTTTGTGTGAGCAGGTTGCTACACTGACAGTAGAGGACTGATTTCAATTCCTTTTTGTGAAATCAAGAGATTAGTTGGCTGATGTTTTCAATGAAGGTTTTTGTAGTAGGATTTTTTACCATTGTTTATGCTTAGTGTTGGTTAGTAGTAGTTTGAGGCATAATTGTGTACTTTGGATCACTTCAATATAAATGCTTTTGTTTATGGTAGGGAACCTTAATTTTGGGTCTCTTATTAGCCATGTTTACATTTACCATTGTGATTCCCCCTTACTTATTTTGCATCCCTTTTTTATTTCCATTGATTTTGTGGCTTGATTTTCATTGTTGTTGGTTCTGTTTCAGTAACCTATGGAGGACTACATCTGAAGAAAAGAGAGAGTTGGAGCGTCTGGAAAAACCCATATATAATTCTGTTCGTCGAGCTGCAGAAGTTCATCGTCAGGTTTCTATTTTCTAATTTCTCTTATATGAAACAATGCACATACAGCTGCTAATATAGAAACAAAGAAATCTACTTTCTGTTAATGCTGGTGAAAACTTCAGTGAGGATTTCTGCATCTGGTTTATCACATAAAACGTTTTGTTTGCCTGCTTTTAGGTTCGAAAATACATCAAAGGTATTTTGAAGCCTGGGATGTTAATGATTGACTTATGTGAAACCCTGGAGAATACCGTCCGTAAGGTGATATGGGAGAATAGTCTACAAGCAGGCATTGCGTTCCCTACAGGGTGCTCTTTGAATTGGTAAACATTTAGTCTGGCATATGAAGATCCTTCCGGGTTCATTTTTTTATTTTTATTTTTATTTTTACAATTTTTTTAGAAAGAATGGTGTTTTGCTAAGTATTGGGTACGAATTCTTCAATTTGTGTTTATTTTGGTGAATCTTATTACAATTTATGTTATGAATGTAGACCAGTGAAGACTACAACTTTAATGCTAAGACATGATTTTTGGATATATGTTAGTTTGTGGTTAATGTTAAGACATAATTTTTGGATATATGTTAGTTTGTGGCTAACGTTAAAACATGATTTTTAGATTTTGGATATGTTAATTTTGTGGGTAATGGTGATTGGATATTAATTGAATGAGAAAGTGAATTAATGCTTCATTACAACTATTTGAATGGGAGTTGTTATTTTATATTAGTGCTATTGCAGATATTTTTTTAGCTCAATCAAATAAAATTAGTACAATTTCCAAAAAAAAAAAAAAAAAAAAAAAGAGGATATGACGGCGTTTCTACAAACGCCTCTTAAATCTTACAGGCTAACGGTCATATTTGTTTAAAAAAGATATGACGGCGTTTTTCCAAAAACGTCGCTAAATGTCGTGAGACATTTGACACGTGGTTAGGAGGACATTTGGCGGCGTTTTTAAAAACGCCGCCTATAATAATATCACGACGTTTTTAAAACGCCATAAAGCTATAGCGACGGCCGCGTCCTCGACGTTTGGTGCTAAGCGTCACAAAAAGAATTGGCGGCGTTTTTGACACTTTTAGCGGCGTTTTTTAAACGCCACTAAAAGCTGAATTTCCTGCAGTGCTTGTACTGTAATTTTTAGTTTGCCATTTTTCAAATGGAAATTAATTTGGGACGTTATGATTTTTGTTTTTTTGCTATTGATGAAAAATAAAGAGGGCACTTTGTGACTCATTTAGACCTGTTTTGTATTGTATTTAAAATTTTGCATTTTGTTATTCGAGTTCTCAAAATGAAATAGGTTCTCTCTAATTCAGGGAAAGTTTACAATGTGCATCTTCTAAAAGAGCATATGATATGCACTTATTGTATGGTCCATATAGTGCCACATCATAAAAAATGACCTGCTAAACCGGTCATCTAATAGGTTATATGAAAGAATCATAACTTTTTTGAAATATCATAACAATATTACAATAAATCATAACAATGTCATAATATACACTACGATATCATAACAAAGACACTATCAATCGTAACAATATGGCAACGACTCATAACAACTGTAGTTATTTTTAACAAATTATCATAACATTTGAATCGTAACATTTTTTATTATAATTCACCATGACAAATCATAACTTTTGGTAGTACAAATCATAACTTTTACTAATGAATCATAATCATAACACCTTCTTCTTTTTTTTTCTTTTTCTTTTTTTATCAGAGAAAATTAGAAAAACAAGAGAGGCAAACATGACTACGTCAAGATACTGATCAAACCCAATTATAATCCTCCATCTAGGTACGTGCTTCGGAATAGATTCAAGGCTTGGAAATCAAGTGGTGTGGTATGAGACATCTTGGCTTTTGCTTATTCAAGGTCAGAGATGGTCCATGATGCTCTCTTTGTTATTGCCAAGATGAAGACATGAAAATCCAAGCTTCAATCATGACCTACAACAGTTTGTTGTACAACTTAAGGCACACTAGTATCATGTGGGATGTATATGATGAAATCAAAGCTAGTGGGACTCCTCAGAGTGAACACACCAATTCAATTCTAATAGATGGTCTATGTAGACAATCATTGCTACAAGAAGCAGTAGCCTTCCTGCAAGAGAATGAAGGGAAGCATTTTGGGCTCTGTGTTGCTTCATTCAATACTCTCATGTCAAGGTTCTGTAAAATTGGTTACGTAGATGTTGCAAAATCTTTCTTTTGTATGATGTTTAAGTATGGACTACTTCATGATGCATACAATTACAATATTCTTATTCATGGGTTATGCAAAAATTTTCAGATGCAGAGAATATAGATGGAACAATCAGTAAAACAAGGGCAAAACAGATCGCTGGAGTTGCACTTCATGGGATGGTCTTCTAGGGTGAAGAAGATCGCCGGAGTTTTGTCTGAAAGAATGAAGGTTTCGGACCAAAACAACGTGAGGCTTTGTGGGATGAGAACAAGCAGTAAAGAAAAAAGAAAAACCAGTTCAACAGGTATTCAATTTTTCTAATAAAATTATTTAATGGTTCAGATTAATTTATATATATCTAATGGTTTAAAAGTCAGGCGTATATGATGTGCACAATTTAATCACATGCACATTCTAACAGCTCCCTTTTTTAAATAGTTCTATAATTTGTACTATTCAAATGTTTATTTTATGATAATAACTTTTATAAAGTCTACCATTAAATGTTTATTTTCTATTCTTTTTTATAATGTTTGTTAATTTATTTTATGATGAATATATGTACAAATATGTAAAAAATTACTTGTTGTTTGATGAAATTTCTATTTCTTAATAAAATATTTGTTTTTTTCTAGAAACGATCATCACAGTCCAAGTCAATGTCTTGGTTAAAAATGGGAGTTAAGTTTGTTAGGGTTGAAATAAGACAGGGTGAGAATACTATTGTAAACATAATATTTTATTATTGCCCCCTCTGAACTAAAATCCTATCTAGCCCACTGGTGTCATGTGAAAGGTTATGAGTTATAATTAATTTATTATTATGTTTAATATGAGACTCTTCATGTTTTGATGGATGTGTATATATATGAGGAAGTGTACATGAAGAATATGAGTGTGTGTATATATATTTTATATTGTGTTTATACAGAAATGTTTAGGCAAGCTGTAAAAGTGTTTTTGTGGTGTGCAGAGTTGATGGAGTCAACCTGACTAAAAGTTGGGTTGTTATATCCTGCAGGAGACAAGCTAATATATTCTACTACATCGGAGAGTGATAGTTTTTACCAACTTAGTTTGAATCTTCTTAAAGAGAATGAGATTATCGCGCCTCAGTCCAATTTATTGTATTTTCATATATTTGGAGATATGATATGTAATACATATATTTAATATAGTAGACAGGAGGTAATATCCATGAATGTATTCAAGCCGAATCACGTAAATCGGATATCTTCTCATGATGATAATTTTTACCCATATTTATTTTGACTCTATAATTTATTATTTATTTTGGTAAACACTCCAACAAAATATATTATTGTTACTTGGTCGTTACTCCTTAACAGCATAACACAAGTCAGATATTATGTCTGAATCAGTGCATTTCATAAGTCACCAACTTCTTTTAAAAAAATCAATGTTTCATCAATTGAAGCCAAAAAAAATAATAAACAACAATTACTTCTGCTGCAAACTATGCAAGTATTTAGGAAAACATACTTTATAATGGATTTAAAGTAAACAATAGTAGCAAAATGGTTGCTTTACTCTCTATGCTTGAAAATATATTTTGTGCATTTTAGGACAAAGTGGTCTTAGACAAAAAGATATTGGGTTCATCATATTAACAAATACACTTAAAATTTAAAATCTGTTGATCAGATTCACTCTTATGTATTTAATACCACAATCAAGTATACAATCGATTTAAATTCTAAACAATATTTTGGCATTTTCTTTTAAATTTTAAAGCATTTTGAGGTAAGAATAACAATATTACATACTTTAAAAAAAATTAGAAAGGTTTTCAAACTTGGGGATTGTTTGGAAAGTGCTAGATTAGTATATTTTTTGACTTTTTACTAAAAAACGTGAAATATGAATTGGGTTTGAAATGATATGGTAAAAAAATGATGTGACTGAAATAAGATAATCGTGACCTAAATAGGATAATGTGCTAAAATAACATGTG